CAGGTGATATCCAGCAACCTGGCCCTCCATACCACTTCAGCAGGGCCAGCCCCTGCACTTTTTAAAAAAAAGACTGGCCCTTCTGCCTCAGACTCCCAAATAGGTGGGATTATAGGTGTGCACCACAGAACCAGGCTTGCAGGTGGGGACAGAATCAAATCCGGGACCCTCATTTAGCCTCAGCCCGCCAAGTAGCAGCATAAACCAGCTCATACCACTGTGGCTGGGCTTAGTCTTCTTAATGCAATGTATCGCTTATTCTGTGTAACCACCAAGAGATATATAGGTATTGCTATTAATCTTCTTTGCAGATGAAGAAACGGAGGCACAGAGCCATTATCACAGCTGATAACTGCATGGCCAGGTTTGAAACCCCGGCTGTCTGACTCCAGAGGGTGTTTCCCATCCCCAGTAGGCTAAGATTTAAAGGCCTACAACTTAAAGAGTGTAGGTGGGGGTATTCCAGATTCCTATGGTTGTCTGAGAGGAGGCTAAGAAGACTACCTCAGGCCAAAAGACAAACCTTCCCGGCTTCCTAAGCTTGGAGCTAGGACCTGTAATTATAAGGGTCCTATGTGGATGACAGGGCAAGCCAGGGGTATCCTTCCCTCAGCTCTGACCTGGCCTCCCTCAGAGAACCTAAAGAGAGAACTAGGAGGTCCCCAAAGAGCCTGCTGCATGTGTTGTGAGGAGCTTGGACTGGAAACCTCCGACCTGGGTCTTGAACATTAAGACAGCTTCCCCCTCTGCTAACAGAAACACCAGTTATAACCAGAACACTCTGCCTCCAACCTCAAGGAAGTGGGAGTTAGCATGACATAACCTCCAGACTCAGAGATGAGATGCATCCAGGGCCTGGGGCCCAGCACTCCTACCTCACTGTCAATGAAAGCTAAGAGGAGACTCCTGACAACCTCTTGGATTGGTATTCCTGGCCATTTTGCCAAGCAATCTGGGGAAAGGAAAGGCATGTTGGATGGGAAAGCCTTTTGGAAACGTTGGATGCATCGGGAGCCCAAACAACTCTATCCTTAAACACTTCGTCTCCAAAAGTGCTGGGAGACCCTTGGCCAAACAGTTTCAAACCCAACATTCACTGTAAGCCTCGCTGCCTGGGGCAAGGACTTCCCCCTGTGAAGCATTTGCTGCAGAACCAAATGCTTTTCCACTCAAAACAACAGCCAACAGCACTTGGGACAACTGAGAGGGCTCCAGATCAAACAAACATCCCTTTTTTCCTCTACCATGCAAACTTTCTCAATAAATTATTCGCCCACTTCGGATCAAAGCCTGTTTTTGCAGTCTGTGACCTAAAAAGCAAATAGCATCTCTTAAACATGAAAGCCCTCCTCCCTGCCTGGGTCAGCTTTATTACTCATTCCTTCCCCCTTACAGTTATTCTGTTGTTATTTTCCTCCTCTGCTTGTTAGATCGCTCTGCGAGTCTCAACCCGCCTGAGATGGGACAGGAGGGATGGTGCACTCATTTGGGGCCCTAAGGTGAGAGAGGAAGTCGGGGTAGAGGAGAAGCCAGCACCCTGGGAACCCAGGAAACAGGGCCAGGCCTGGTTGGCAGTTCCCTGCCAGGCCCTTTTGCCAAATGTCCTACTGGGAATTTTACCAGTGAAAGGAGGCAGTAGATGCCACCCTGTAGGAGGGACCACTGGGCCCTAATGCCTCTGAGGTCCAGAACTCAGTTTACAAACACAAATGCTAAGGGGGTGTGCTGACAGCTTTTCTAGGCCCAGAGCTCAGAGTTCCTCCTCCAACAAAGGCAAGGCCACGGCTCCCATTCGGTCCCTCCCTAGCCCCCCCACCCCCAAGACTGCCTGCAAATTCAGCCTGGGGCTGGGGGGGTGGGGGTCAACTCTGTTCCTCGAAACCCCTCCGAAGATAAGCCAAAGGTACTAGGCACGAGAGTGAGGTTTGGAGAGCTGCAGAGACCGGGGTGCCCGGCCGCAGTGTGCCCTCCGCAGGAGGCATAGAAACTCGGCGCCCCGCCCCTCCCCCGCCCCCCCGGCACGAGGCCAGCGGCCAAGCGGGTGAAAAAGTGCCCAGGCAGGCAGCAGTGGCTGTGGGGATGGGGAGGGGGGCGAGCGCGCCTCCAGCCTGCCCCTGGAGGCAGTCCGCGGGACCGCAGGCTGGAGGTGCGCCGGCGTGATTCCGACCGCCGGAGCCGGGAGGAGGAGCCGGAGGTGGCTGCGGGGGGCTTCTGCCCCGGCGAAGGAAGGGCAAGAGGCGGATCGGGCCGGGGGGGCGGCGCCGGGAGGTGGGTGGGCTTGACGCCCAGGGCGGAGGAGGGGTTTAAGAGGCGCGGGGAAGGGCGGCCGAGCCCCTTGGGGAGGTGGGGTGGATAGCTGTGTATAGAAGGGGACAAGGTTGGGGGGTGGGCTGGGCCTCTGGAAGCCGGAGTGGAGCCTTCTTGCGTACCTCGCAGAAGACATCCCCATCTTTCAGCAGAACAGCTACTAGTCACCAAGCTGACCCACTCATCCCTAGGCCGGGAAAAAGAGGGTGTTTCTGGACCCAGGGATGGGCGGGAAGGGACCGTAGGGAGCCACAAGTCTGCACCCAGGCGGGGGGGAGGCGGGCGAGTGCCGCTCCGCAGGCGCAGGCGAGTGGGTGGGAAGCAGGGAGGGAGCGGGAGGAAGGAGGTGAGGCCGGGAAGATGCCACCGCCGGGGGCGGGGCGGGGCTGGGGATCCGGCAGAGGGACTGCAGCAGCGCTTGGTGGGGGCGGGGGCTGCAATGTCACTCATTAGGGGGTCAGGTGTGTGCGTCCTTAGTAGGGTCCGCCACTTGCCCGCATCTTCCCGGTACCCCTTAGGGCGTTGGGGCGGAGGCGGAGGGCAGAGGACTGCGGAGCCGTCCCCAGAGCAGGACGCGAACCGGCAGAGTTGGGAGAAGGTAAACAAGGGCCACGCCCCCTGCCGTCGCCCCGCGGGCGCGCACTCGCCGCTCCGGCCGCTGCCCGTACACTTCCAAAACGCCCCCCCGCCGGAACCCCGCGCGGCCCCGGAGGGGGCCTGCCCCCGACCCCAGCTTATACCCCTGGCGCTGGGGCTGCGCACCCTCCACACTCACCTGAAAAGGGTGTCCCCCGCCCCTCCAAAAAAAAAAACCAGTCTAATTTGTGCAGAGCCTTTGAGACCGGGAACAGAGCACGCTGCCCCCGCGTGCAGAGCCCGCGTGCACCCAGCCCGGAGAGGGGGCGACAGGGCGGAGGCGGTGGCCCCCGGAAGGTGTCTAGGACCGGACCGGCTGCACGTGAGCCCAGCGTGGGGTCATGTGCACCGGCTCAGCCCGGTTCGGCGCCCGGACGTGCTGCGTATCAACAAAATGAAACTCCGGGCGACCGGAGGGCAGATAGCTCTGGGTCCTCGGATCCCCCGCCCCTGGTCGCTGGACCAACACCCCCTTCCCCTTCTCCCGCCGCAGCCCCTCCCCCCC